TCCAATTGGATAAGTTAGGACCAAAACAATACAATTTCTTTAACATTTTCCTCTTGCAACAAACCCATAGTCAACATCTTAAAGTGAAAAAAAAAAAAAAACACGTAATAATTCCTAAATTATGTAGGATTAACATGGTTACAATTCTTCTTTTTTTTTTTTCTTACATAAGGACAGTGTATTCATATACTGATTAATTTAGAGACTCCAGACCTACAAACACATAAAAAAGTTTTTGTCATTTTTTCCCTCACTTCATTTGGAGATTTCTCAAAATAATGCCAACCCATGCCTAAGTGATAAAATTTTGAAGTCATAGTATCCACACATCTATTGGTTTCTCGAAAAACATGTGAAAGTTTACATTGCCAATTCTTCTTAATAAAAGCTTGACACTTGCTAATTAGATTTCCACATGGCTCAAGGTGAGTTGCACCAACAATGATCTTTCACACCGCCAACAATGAATCAGACTCTACTATTACCTTGCTATAATTCTTCTGCAATGCAAGTTCTAAAGCTTTACAATTCAATTTTTTTATGCATTTCGAAATTAATTTTTCTCAAAGGACAAACTCTCACATTTAAAGAAATTAATTTTTTTGAATGTTAATTTTTAAACTTAAATATCAAACTTAATTAATGAGACAACATATATTGAGCAAATAATTGACTCTTGCTGGAATGAAGGCAGAGTCAGTAGATGCTCAATATTTCACCTAATTTTGTATTATGGGCAGGAGTACCCCTTGTACTCTATCTAATGAATTAAATTTGCTGTGCAAAAAAAAATGAGACAACATATATCTACCCATAGATCTAACCCTCTGAGTTTCTAAAAAATAATACTCTTTTCAAACATGATGGTAACATGACAAGCTACAAAACAATATCAATTGTTGAATAATAATCCCTTCACATCATTGTCAAATTGGATGTAGAACCAAACAATTACAATTTTCCTTGACATTTTTCTCTAGCAACGAACCCATGGTCAATATCTTAATGTAAAATAACACATAAAAGCCCAAATTATGTAGGATTAGGAAGGTTCCATGCACCACTCCGCCTTGCACCTATTTAATAATTTAAGCCCAAAAATCGTAACGCTTTTAAACCCGTCCGCCCACATTCGACGAATTAAACCGCGTCTGTTGACGCGTGCATTATCTTCCCACCGTGTAGCATCCTCGATTCATATTTGTTTCTCCACTCTAATTTTTCTCCCTATAAATACATACCCTTGTTTTCTCTTCCAATTCATCTCCTCTAAAAACACAGCATATCTTCTTGTTCTTGTGTTATTCCATGGCAGAGAAACATTCCCACTTGAACGGGGCCTACTACGGCCCCGCCATCCCACCTGCCCGGTCCTACCACCGCCACGGCCATGGTTCTGGCTGTGGCTGCTGCTGCCTCCTGAGCTTCCTTATCAAGCTCATAGTCACTGCTGTCGTCATCTTGGGTCTGGCTGCCCTCATCTTCTGGCTCATATTCCGCCCCAACATAGTTAAGTTTCACGTGACGGATGCCTCCCTTACCCAATTCAACCTCACCTCCGACAACAACCTCCACTACAACCTCGCCCTCAACATCACCGTGCGCAACCCCAACAAGAAAATTGGCATCTACTACGACCGCATCGAGGCCAACGCGTACTATGAGGACCAACGGTTCGCTACCCAACAGCTGACACCGTTCTATCAGGGGCACAAGAATACCAGTTACTTGAACCCCTCGTTTCAGGGGCAGAAACTGGTGTT